TTTTCAACGCGCGTTTTAAAGAACCAAGAGTTCTATGTAGCCGTACACACTCAAACGCCAAGCGCGCGTTAAACGCGCGTTTATAGATTTTTGTTAAAACGCGCGTTTTGCGGGCACTATACGGGCGCTTTGAGATATATGTGCTGCCTTACAGCGACGATGGAGGAGCACACACAATCAATTACTTTCTCGTCCATTTCCAAACTGAGCCAGTGCTAAACGCCGAACTAACGCTCGTCGAACGCCGAGCTAACGCGCGTTAGCTCGGCGTTAAGCGCGCGTTTAACGCGCGTTGAAAAACGCCTAGTGTGTACAGGGCCTATGGCAGCACATATATCTCAAAGCGCCCGTAAAGTGCCCGCAAAACGCGCGTTTTAACAAAAATCTATAAACGCGCGTTAAACGCGCGCTTGGCGTTTGAGTGTGTACGGCTACATAGAACTCTTGGTTCTTTAAAACGCGCGTTTAACGCGCGTTGAAAAACGCCTAGTGTGTACAGGGCCTAAGAAATGTTTCTTTTACAAGAAATGTATAAAATTACAGTACTGTATTAGACTTATGGTACCTAATTTACATACTGTACAGACGATAGTTAGCGTAAAATCTCCGTAGCGATGCGCTACGCGGCGGAAAATACGGAAAATGCATACAGTAGACCCCCCTATTATTACGGGCCCTATAATTACGATTCTTATAAGACTGCGAAAAAATTTCGACGATATCCGTAAAAACCCGTAAAAAACTCCTATAATTACGTAAAACGTCATCGGGCAGCCGAACTACTTTCCCGCCGTCCGTAGCGCCACGCTACGGAGAGATTACTATCGNGCGATCTGCCTAGTGGGTGCCTTCCGGGAGGTATTTTTAATGGGAACTGGCCCCTATTCAGGCGTAACAGACGTGGAGAAAACCCGGAAAACTCCACGTGGCCAGTCCGTCCTGTCGAGGCGCGAATCCACGACCGAACTCCCAGTGTTCAGGGAATAGAACCGCATGGCCGCTGGTGTGCCTGAAACATTTGAAGTTGTATTTTATAATTAATTAGCAGGTAAACACTACGTTGCCCAGGAAAAAACTAGAAACAAACGTTAAGTTTATTTCGTACTTCTAGCCCTTTTATTATATTATATTATTTGATTTATACTGTANATATGTACAGTACCTAATTTATATATAATTATATGTACAGACGAAACTAAACTCAATTTAGCCGCCTAATTGTCCATAGCGTGGCGCTACGGACGGCAAAAAAGTAGTTCGGTTGCCCGATGACGTTTTACGTGATTATAGGAGTTTTTTTTACCTTTTTTTACGGATACCGTCGCAATTTTTTCGCAGTTTTATAGGAATCGTAATTATAGGAACCGTAATTATAGGGGGGTATACTGTAAACGCAATATTTACGAGAACATCCTTTTTACGTAGTTAATACAATTCGTTGCCAAAATTTAAACAATTTATTATCATATAAAGGAATTATTGTTGCATTTTTACAGGATTATTTTATTTAAACAAGTAATATGAAATGTTTGGATATTAAGGTTAGCGACTTCGATCATGTGTGGATCCATCACAACCTGTCCAACACGGATCATTTCTTTCTGTCGGACCATCAGCACGATGGCATTCGAATACAGGTTTTAAATGAACGAAAATGTTTTAAGCGACAAAAAGCATATTATGTTCTCGACAATTAAATATATATTTTAAAAACATTTCGGATATATTTTCAATTGTTGTTTACTTGATTAATGAAATTGTGCCATTCCGTACTCGTACTATCCGAGTATGGCGATAAACGTGACAACGTTACGATGAAATAACCAAACTATTTATATGGTTTTGTTTTTGATGTACGTTATTTTATAGTGTTTGATTTATATAACTACAAAGGTTATCTTACATAAGGTTGATCACACTCAGTGTCTAATCTAACACATTTTAAATATTTTTTAAATGTTTTAGATTGGGCACTTGGTGTGATAAACTCTTACGTACGATAACCTTTGTCAACATAAATTAAATACTAAAATATGATATAGTAAAAAGTTAGAAGTAGTAAATAATCTAATAATTTTGCTATTATTATGTTTTCCTCGAGCAACGCCGGGTTCATCTGATAGTAATATAATATCTATACATATAAAATTGCTTGTCCTGACTGACTCACTGATTCATCATCGTCCACAGCAAACCGCTGAATTTAAAGAGGTGAAATTTGGTACACAGTTAGGGTACGTCATGAAAACGCACACTAAGAAGGGATTTTTCGAAATTCCCCCTCCGGGGGAGAGGGAGAGCATTAAAACTTAACCCGAAGAACGACTTTTGAAATTGATTCCATACTTTCCCTTAAATTGATAACATTTCAGACATTGTTATAAATATTTTGATATGTTTCGAATTTTATACCAAATGTTCGAATCGTTTTAAATTCGAAATTGTTATTGCACATTGGTTCCATTATAGAACGATTGTAAATGTTCCAGAAAATTGATCAAATTAAAAATAGTTCGTTTGATTCGCAGCATTTCTCATCATTCTCGGCATGCTTAGGTGTTATATAACAATTACTATGGTTGTTGAAATACTGAATATAAATAAGGTTTTGCTTGCAAAACCTCCGCGGGAAAAGTCGCGTGTAACAGCTAGTTCTTACATAAATAAAAAACTATCGAATTTCTAAATTATCGAATTAAATTCTAGCGAAACCAAAAACTAAGTCACCAATATTCAAATCATGTTAGAATCTCTTCTATAAACGTCGTATTGCACGAGAAATAACTGTATTTTAATACCAAATTATTACACGTTTAAGTTGTCTTCGTGTAATTGAATTTATACATCTGTTCACAGTTTTCTTTCTTGTTTGAAACGGTTTTTAGTTTTAAAAAGCCGGAGAAAATAGAATGTAGTGTACTTGCCATCTGAAATATAAAACAAAATCATTATCAAATATGTTTAGAGAAAGTTGTAGAAAATAATACTAAGAGAAAAAGCAACCTTGAAAACAATTCTCTTATCTACCACAAAAAATCCGCCTATTGAAAGAGACAGGGAGACTTTTCCAAATCTTTTCATAAAATCCAAAATCTGAAAGTATGAATGAAAAATATAAAATAATTATTTATTAAATGATCATAGAAAACACATACCTTCAGCTTTCTTTTCAGTCCAATATCACATCCTGCGAATTGTCTGACGTCTTGAAACGTATTTTCCATCTGCAGCAGAAAAAAACAGTATAGAAATAAAATTAAGAAATCACGTCAATAGTGTATGTAGAATATAATTACCGTAAATGCGAGCGAGCACAGCAGACATCCAGCTATTACGCAAATACACGTGAATATTACCATAAGTAAAAATATTATATATTTCTGGTAATAATGAAATTCCAAAAATATAAATGCGTAGCAGAAATAACTTGTACCCCAAAGGACAAAAAAATAGATAATTACAACTACTAAATTGTACTTGGTATTAAATTGTTGCATAAAAAGCCAAAGCTCTTCGTGATGCAACATAAATTCCGTTACCTTTTTCTGTAAATCTGAATCGATTCTTTTAATTAAAAACAATTCACGAGACAACTGTTCGAACTCTTGATGAGCGATGATGCATATCAAAGCCAATATTAATAAAGTAAAACCGAGTCCTCCTATAACATAACTTGTACCTATGTAAATCTCGATACTACAGAATAGAGCTTGTCCACGAAATTTTTCTTTCTTTTCTATTTCAGGATATAGAACGAAAATCACAAGAATTGCAAATAAAATAATAACTACTATTATAATTATAGATACAAGCAGAACAATTCTTCTCAAGAAGTTGTAATTATTCTTCATTTTGGCACAAAAAATCTCGTTCTTTATTGCCTGTATTAATACCAATTTGGTTCTTCTCATGCATCTGAAAACAATACAATAACTGATAAATAGAAAACAATTTAACAATTTGAACAATGTAGAATGAGTTTTCACTATATCAAATTCTCCTTTGCAAATTGAATATTCATCTATACCCGGTATTGTTTCCAAAATTAGAAGAATTGTTCGTTGCCATAAACAAAATTCGATTATTCGAACGTATATATTCATAAATTTTGAATATTTAGATATTCTAATTTTGTTTCTGCAATTGCAAGATTCAAACGGATCTAGCCCAAATATAAGGGCAGTCGTCCAACAAGGACTAAGGAAACAGTTCATACACGTTTTTTCTTGTAAATTTGGGTTCATGTTCACTTTGTACCTATGCTTCACGAAGTAAAAATGCTTCATTCATTACGTAATATCTCTACAAATATCACGATTCCTTTATTAAAAATGGGTGATATTAAATTTCTATTTTATGAGATAATTTCGCTTAATAAATATAAAAATTAATTAGCTAAGTGCAGGCTTTATTGATTGGTCAATAAATTAAACGCTGGAGCTGTAAGGCAGCGCAGCGTTTAATTAAAGCGTAATATGGATGGCTCTTTTAATTCAGGAAATGGTAGTGTATCTGTCAGATACAGTAATAAATAAAATATGTATGATAATAACATGGGAGCTTCCATTCCTAATGTTGTCAGAGGAGAAAAATAAAACAGATTTATTTAAAAAAAATCAATCTTGAAATGTCTGTGATAATTCATTAGAAAGGAAAGAAGGAAACACCATGGAAAAATCGTGCAGCACTTTAGAGAATTTTTTATTTTCATTAGTGTCGGAGATGTTTTCGTTCACATCGAATCAGATGTTTTCTTCGTCGTTTTTACGTCATTCTTCATCGTTCCAATATCGAGTTCAAAAGAAAAACAAACATTCCTCCTGTTGTTTGTTTTGCAGGTAAATCCTCTTCTGGCTTCAAGTCTTACGCAACAGAGCGCTGTCCCTCCAGTCAAATAAAATAACTCCACCGATGAAGTGAAATGCAAGCTGTTATCATTTTTTGCGATGTCGCAAACAAAATTAATTTTTGACACTCATTATAATAGCGACGAGATTAAATGATATTTATCTAATTTCCTCACAAGATGGACTGTTTCGTTACAGAAGTAGACAGTAAAACACAATAAAAGAATTAAAAGTTGCACGATAGTTATGCAAAGGATTCGAAAATTTAATAGGCGTGCACAAATTAACTGACAAAATTTTTTTAAACTTAGTTTGAAAGGAAATTTTGTATTCATATTAGGAAGAATCCGTTTCAGTGAAGAAGTTTAAGCGGAAATTTCTTTCGCGAAGAAACATGAAAAATCACAACACTGAAAATCAAATTGGAATTAATAATAAAAAACTTCGTACGTTATCACCTCCAAAAATTCGCCTCCAAAAATCTTAAGTCAAAGTTTTATTACGAGAAACACAAGGACACACATATAAATTCCATAGATGTAAGGTATGCAAGAAAGAATTTGAAGGGAAACATCAGTTGACACGTCATGAAGTTACTCATAGACTTTTCAAATACCATTTTTGTAATGAGAGTTATAAAACAAAACCCCATTTAAATAGGTATTATGAAACTCATAGTGATCGATGTATCAATATTCTTGTCCGATATGTAATAAATGTTTTAAACGCGATTGTTATTTTAAAAGGCATATTGAAATGTGCAATGATGAATACAGGTGTTCTTGTGATATTTTAAAATAAAACATTTTTTGGGACAGCATAAAAACATTTATAGCGATAAAATAAGTATTTTTGGAACGTATGTAAAACAAATTTTAAAACTAAAAGTACTTTTGTCAGACATCGCTTAGTTCAACACGAAAACATTTTGCTATAATCATATTGTAATTGGCGATTTACAACTAAAAATACGTTCGAAATGTCGAATTGAAATAAGAGAAATCTGAAAAAAAGTTTTGCATGTAAAGGAAATTTGCATCTTCCATCAGGGAATTCATTCTAATGTATTACGGTTTCGTTGTGAGGTGTGTAAGAAAGACTTTTATATTTAAATAAAAATTGAAATAATTCGAAAGTGTTTATAATGAAGACAATTTTTCTTATGTTGTGAGATGTATACGAACAGTTTCAATGTATAATGTGATTAGACAAGGCTTTATCCTTTTTGTCTAAAAGAAAAAGAGTTTTGACTTAATTTTAAATGTAATTTTGAAACTGAAGATAAACTAACATTTTGTTTATTATATTCGAAACGAAATAACAGAGCCACTGAGAAATAGCACTAATAAAAGAACAGGAAAAACATGCAGGATGTGATTCCTACATAGACAAGAAAATGTTTTAATGTCACTAATGGATGAATATATATTTTCAAAATCAACATATTAACTAATCATTTCTTGGGCCAATTGGTCGAACTGGCTTCCAATTTCTGTCATTATGACACATGAACAGTCAATTTTTCCTCTTAGTAATTGCGAAGAACATCTAAATGTCAATTGCTTTCTTCAATAGCATTGGTGTCGCGTTAGCTACACATAAAACTAAAAAATAATGTAATTGCTATATTCTAATTGAGTAAATTATAAAAGATCTGTTATACGGAAGAAATAGATTCAGAAACATCGAAATCAAAACAACATGGTCAATTCTAGCACCCTTTTTTCGTTAATTTTATTACTACACAATGTACTGTACATAAATAAGAACATCACGAACATGATTACAATCACTACTACTTTCCAAAACATAGAATATGAAACAAAATTTCAGAACAAAATAATATTTGTTAAAAACAACGCAGTTTTTATATTTTTCCATTTGTTTATCCACATTAACAAACGTAGCAAGCAGTGGGCTCTAACGAAGCTTTACATCTGACATCGGCATGATATCAATGGGTAAAAGACATAAAATACAATAAATAATATATAAATTATTATTAATATTTAAAAAATCCAACATTTGTACCGTAATTTCATTAAAATTTCTTGTAATATCTTTAATGATACATGAAACAATCAGATCAAAAAACAGAAACAGAGTTAAAGCTTAGGATCTATCTGTTGTGGTTTAATTTAGATTTTGAATTTAAGACCTGTTTCTGTTAGGAATAACGTGGAACAAGTTCAAGATAAAGAAACAACTTAGGAATCGCCATTACCGAAACAAATAATCCATTAAAAGTACATTTATAGTATGTATAAAAATAAAAGAACTGAAGTGATATAAACTATAATATGCAATTAAGTAAATACTATAAATACAATTGCTTTTAATTACATACACTTTTATTAATTAATATAGGTCTATTTAAAAGAAAACCAAATGATCAATCTTTAAGTGTAGAAGCTTTCCTGAATTTTAGAAGATCAAAAAATACAGAATAAAGATAACTCGCCATTTTTAAGATATCAAAATTAAATACGTCAATTCAAGATGTGAATAATAATTATTATAAAATTTAGTTAAATATTCTTTAATCGAAAATTTCTTGGTAACGTCGAAGTAATCATTCACGGATACGCATAGAGGTTCTTTACCAAATTCCTTTATAAAATTAAGCATCTGTACAATAAATAATTGTCATCACTGTATGTAAATTTTACAAAAATATTAACATTTATTTACAAAAAAAAAGAAATTTTAAATACTTTACTTTTAATTTCTGTTCTAAACTCGAATCACAATTAACAAATTTTTTTATATCCTGAAAGGATGCTTGAATCTGAAAGAGGAAAATCAAAGAATTTGGTAAAATCTACAAACTAAATTAAGTTTTGATTTTGCGTAATAAAAAGGCTCACGATTGTGAGCCCGCGGATTTTTGCGGGTCTTTTAAAAATTTAAATTTTCTTGTTAATTAACTTCGGAAAAAAACCCAAAGATTTTGTACTAGATCGGATTTCACCGATTGTATCACAACTCGCTGAGAAAGTTTACAGTTAAATGTGAAAAATGCACCGTCATCGTCAACAAGAATCGATGACGCGTCAGCTCTCGCACGAAAAAGTATAAAAGCTAGAATCTCCGTAACCTCAGCGCGATTCGTCATAGGAAGTTGTACTTAGTAATAGTGTCACCGAAACTCCCGAGCCTCCATTCAGCGGACCCGATCCAGCTATAGAGAGAGGACCTCGAATAGAAGACACATAAGACACCACACCTTGAACGTTCGCCAATTCGCCCTGCCACCGACAGGTATTTTGGGGTATATAGGATTTGTAAGCGCTCTCTCTCGAACTCGAAAATTCGTGCTCGAATTTATGTAAATAGTAGAGATAACCGCTTTTAACCTCTTGTAGTGCTTAATTGAGTATATAATAAATGCTTGTTTAGTTTTAAACCTGTTTCCTGTCATTTAAGGACGCCTATCATCTTGTTCACCTCCCTCCCCACTTGAACTGCCCTCCTAGCCATCCGACGACGCCGAGATTGGGTTTTATCAACCTGTTGCCGAGTAAGTGGTCAGTAAGAGATTGATCCCTGACCCGCAGTTTATCTCACACGATTGATGTGAAAATAGACATCGAAAATCCAAACAAAATACAAAAAATTGTTATTAAGCAAAACATAGAAGAATGGAAGGTTACTATGCAAATTTCACATGTGAAAAGATAGCAATAAAATAAAGTAAACACGATCCTGTTAATAAAGTAGCATAAAAAATTGTCAATACACAATTGAATGGTCCGTTGAATTGATTGGAATAAGTCCACATTTCATGTTGTTGTGCCTTAATTTCTCCCAACTCCAATTTCATGTTTTGATTATCTTTTCTTAAGACATACAATTCTTCTGATACTTCCTGAAATGCATTCGTTAGACTAACAATAAGCAATACAAGAAACAATATCAGGTATGTAATACTTCCAATAAGCAAAGTAATCCAAATTCCAACCTTAGTGCTACTTTGACAGTGAGATTAAATAATTTTCTCTGTTTTCCATCGAGATAAAAGAAAAAAGAAATTCAAAAGCTGAAGCCATAATGTAACGATTATTGTTATATTAATTGAGTCAATTCATGTGTAATAAAACAACGTATTTTCCTGTAAATAATTTGACTTTCTAACCTTTATTTTTGTATATAACTTCACTCTTTTGACGATACTGAATATTATGGCATACACTAAAAACAGAATAACAACGTCTACTTTAACAAAGATGTCGTTGTTG